TTCAGCCATAAACAGCACCTGTATCTCCCAGATTAGGGCAGAGGGATCTATTTCAAGCCAATTTGAGCATGAAGATTATTGAGACCTTTTTGTTGATGAAGGAAAACACTTCTGAGGCTTGAAAAGAGCTCCAGACTGTTGCAGCTTCCACTGATGCAACACAAAGTGATTGGAATGAGCTGTAAGCATGACAAAAAATGGCATTTTCAGAGTGAGAGGATTGGGTCTGCTGGAGAGATAGAATATACAAATGAAATGGAGACCAAAGCCCTTGGAAGCTGAGGGGAGCTGCAAAGATGAATAGCTGCTCACAAAGCTTTAAGCCACCATGGAATGCAAATTGCACAAAGACAAAAGAGACCAGAACTTTAAACTGAAGTGAGCCTTGAAGAGAAATTTCATTTATTTAATCCCCTGTAAACATAGCTGGCTGTGGGGCTCAAATGCCTGTCTCCTCATGCAGACCCAGCACCGTTCCTGAAATATTATTGAAACAGGCCAGCAACTGAAGAGGAAAACAAATTCTGCTGGTCCATGTGATTTATGCTTTGGCATTAGGGAGTAAATCCACTGAAATGAGTAAACATGGAAACTGGAAGCACGAATCTCCAGGTAGTTTCAGTTGTGCTCTTTGGCAAAAAGCTCCAGAACCAATTGGCAAGAGGTTTATGGAGGGGGGGAGGATCTCCTGATTTCTGTGGGTTTGAACATTGAATTCTGCATTTCCATAAGATGGAGAATGCCTCTAAATCCATTCTATTACAATTAAAAGTTGCACTAAAGCCGAAAAAAAAAGCTATTTTTTAAATAAAACTAGTTGTGCCAAATCCTACTTTTAAGTCTGAAGAACTAAGCTTCCTCTGTTTCTTGAGAAGGGACTAAAGATGGCACCCATTAGTCTGAAAGCTTTCTTCAAGTATTGAATTTATTATTCTCAACAACCTGTTTGAATTTTGGTGGAATGACAGTTTTTTCCAACATAAAAATAATTCTCTAAGACCAGTGAACACTACAGTTCAGTTACCTGCCTTGGTGTTCACCATCTCTGTTAAGGCACATTTTTTTCTACTAAAAGGTGTTTAAAATCCAACTGAAGAACAAGAACTTGTCAGTGAAAGTCTCCCTGAGCCTGAGGAGGAACTGGCTCCTTAAAGCATTCCCAAAAGGAATTCCAGCCCCACTTGTGAGGGACAGACAGACACAGCCCTCGTGTCTCCAGCCCTCAGTGCTCCCCAGGCTGCTCCCACCAACATGGGCTTTGCAAATTGTCATGGCAACAGGAGTTTCTTTACAAGTGGCACCAGGACAGTAAATAAGCATACAAGCCCTCCCTGGAGTGGCAGTCGTGTCCCTTAAGCTGGCAATAATGTCCCTTAAACTGGCGTGCCCTCCCTCAATGGCAAACACGAGCAAGGGTGTCAGTGGCACGTGGAAAATCCACAGGCAGGGCAAAATCCTGTTAAGAGCCTCCAGAAAAGTAAGGGCAAGGGAGGGAAGCAGCTCCTGAACAGCAGCACGGACCCCTGCTCACAGAGGGAGCTCAGCTCTGCTGGGAGGCTGGCACAGCTGGCATTGCTCAGCTGCACAGGAGAAGCTTTGGGGTGACTGAGCTGTGGCCTTGCAGGGCCTGGAGGGGCTGCAGGAAACATGGAGAGGGACTTTTTACAAGGAATTCCTGCCTGGGAGGGAGGACAGGCTCTGGCACAGGGTGTCCAGAGAAGCTGTGGCTGCCCCACCCTTGGAAGTTCAGGCTGTGATGCCTCAAGTTTAGCTTTTATATTTTCACATTCTGTGCTGCTTTAGTGTGTGGGTCTGAGCTTCATACCAGGGGATGGTGAGCTCTGCACAGAGCAGGGAGACAAAACAATTCCTGCTCCAGCTGGGCACCAAGGACAAATGATCCAAATCTCAGCCCAGGAGCACAAACCCCGTGGGCTGGAGAGAGAAAAACAAGCAGGATGGGAGTGCAGGGGCTGAGCTGGAATTGGACAATGAACTGCAATGTGCACATGGAGCAGAGCTGATCCCAGGGAGAGACCCCGTGAGCGCTCGTGCATTTTGGGGCCATTTGGGTTCATCTTGGGTGCAGCCCTGGCTGGGGTCCTGTGCTGCCCAAGGTGGATCCATGGAGGAGATCCTTGGAATGAATCCCTGCTTTATTCTTTAGCTGCATCTGGTCTCTGTTCTAGGGCAGCCTTCCCAAGGCATCAGTTCAGGGTTTTTTTCTGCTATGGGAAGAAAAACCAGAAGGGGGGATCTGGATCCATTGAAACGGATGAGTTTTAAAATACAAATGCTCAGGAACCGTGGGAAGGACAACATGATTTTTTTCATGTGTGCCCTTAGCAGGAGCACATCAGCTGGACAGGGCTGGGAGAAGCCTGGGACAGTGGCAGGTGTCCCTGCCATGGCAGGGTGGCACTGGTGATCTGTGGGGTCCCTCCCAGCCCCAGCCACCCCATGCTCCACACAGACACGGCACGTGGAGCACAGCCCAGGGTGTGGCACAGCATCAGAGCACCAGGGCACTGCTGGGGAAGGCAGGGGGCACCTGCGGCTCCAGCCTGACACCCGGGGGTGAAACACCAGCTCAAACCAGGCGGAACAAAGCGGGGCCACCCCTGCGCTCCATAAACACAGCACACAATTCCCTATCCTGGATAAAAGGGCTTTGAGCACCTGGGGCTCAGCTGGACCCAGGCTGGACTGCTGGATTCACTGCAGGCTGAGCCTGTTGGGAGGTGCTAACAAATATCTGGGAGTGTGCCAGGGAATCCTGCCCTTCCCTGTGTGCCAGGGCTCACTTCTCTGCTGACCTGGGGCCACCTCTGCTGCAGGTGCAGCTGGGATTCTGCAGCTAGCACTGACCCCACTCCCACAGCCCTTCCACTTCCCAGTCCTGCTGACACACAGCACAAATATTGTCAGCTCCAAAAGACACCATATGGTCAAATTTTCATCTAAAATTGTCAGTCTTTTAAAAGAATCTTTTTCTTTCTGTTTTTTTTTTGGTTTGGTTTTTTGCCTGTTTAGGTTTTTTAATGGAGTTTTTTTGGTTTTGTTTCTTTTTGATTTTTTGGGTTTGTTTTGTTTTGTTTTTGTTTTGTTCTGGTTTTTTTTGTTTTTTTTCTGTAGAAGTAATACTTGTTTAAAGCAAACATTACAGATATTTCAGATGCCCCAAGGAAATTACCTGAAGGAGCCCCTCTATTGTCTTTTATTTGGTTTCATTTTATTTTTTATTTAAACAAAATACATGTCTAAAGTAAGCAGAGATTTAAAAAAATTATGCTGACACATCTTCAGTAAGCAGATTTAAAAAATCATTTTGACAAATATTCCCAAATTCCTTTCTGTCTGCTTCTCAGGATCCATTTAATAATGTAATAGCCTCAGGAGAAACACTGTGTAATGTCTTTCACAGTGCCACAGCAGATCAGTAAAATGCTGTTTGCAACCTGTCAGGTTCTATAGAGATTGTGTCGCTTTCCCCCTTCAATATCACACAAATGATGGACAATAACTCTTCTGTTGTAATCTGAAGGACCTCAGAGGCCTGAGGATTTTCATTGGAAATTAAAAAAAAAAAAAAAAACAAAAACAAGCCAAACCCCAAACTTAATCCATTATTTCCATGTTCTGCTCTACTTTAGAAACAACAAAACAGGCAGATTTCCTGTTGAGCACTTTGTTCCTCCTTAGTTGCATATTCTGCTATAAAGACAGCAATTGTCTCAACGAATAATTTCTCTGTTAATTATGCCTGAGATTTAGATTTGGAATGAGCAAAGAACCAAAAAATGGTGAAATCCCAGTTAAATTTATTCCACTAAACTGGTGGCAGCACTCTTGTCCCTCAGTGGCAGAAGCACCAACTGCAACTGGCTCTGAACATCTGCATTTATCAACCAAAATACTTTCCAGTTTAAAACCCGATCTGTTCCAACACACAGCATGGCTTTACAGCCCCGTCCCCAATTCCACATCTCCAGTGAGGAACTGGTGACTTTCATTTATTTAGCTCTTTGCCAGCTGTTTTTTGCTCCTCATTTTAAATCAAAAGTTGCATTTAACAGAGGGCAGTCAGCAGACACATCCATGTGATGGCACTGAAGGTCTTGCACCTATAATAGTTGTAATATCTATAATATTTCCTTGTCTTTCCTTCCAATCCTTTTTTCCTTGCAGTCTGCAACATTTCCTTGCATTTCCTTCCTCTGTGCACTGCTGTGCAGCACATCCACATCCACTGCTTCCTGCACATCCCAGGTGCCTGGAACGTTCTACCTGAGCAAACGCTGGGATCTGGCAGAGGCAGATTCCTTCCCAGGCTGGGTTGGGAGCATTTCCTCCCTCATCTCCATCAAGGAACAGCCAACACCATTCATCTCTGCAGCCAAGGGAGACCAGGCAAAGAGGGTTGGATTGAGCTCTTTTCTGACCCAGAGATGGGGCAACTGAGAAGTGTTTTAAAAGCTTTTATTCCATTTTCAGTCTCATGAGAAGGGTGAGACAATACAGATGTTATAACTCACACCATCACAATCGGAAGCTGACTATTTCCTAATTACAATACACTATAAGTGTTTCTTGGCTATCATCTTTTTACTCTGCCATGCTGTAAATGCCTTAAAGCAAATAATATAAAACTACCCCTTGTGGGTCCCACTACAATGCATCTTTCACAGTTCTATTTCTCCAAAGTATCCAGTCTTATTTGCAAGGCCATCCTTTGAAACTTGTTTCTAGTTCCAATTCTCTCTCAGCAATGCCTGTCCTATTCCATGGCATTTCTAAGTCAGCATTTCTTATCTCAAAGTTTGCATACAGATACACAGTGTGAACCTTCTGCCAGGCTGTGAGAATTCTTTACAAGTTTATTCCCACAAAGGGATCTGTGCGATCTCCCAGGAGTCACCTGTGTTCAGATTTCCAACCCAAGAGATCCCTACAGTTTTTCCCAGCCAGAAAGGCACACAGCTGTGCAGCCAAGGTCCTACCTGTGGGTCGGAGAGCCGGGAGATGTCGGGGTAAAGGTAGAACTTGATGCCCTCGGAAGCGCCGGGTAACGTCACCCCCCGGATCAGGAGGATCATCAGCATGATGTAGGGGAAGGTGGCTGTCACATACACAACCTGGGGGAGGAAACAAACAGCAGAAAAGGATTCTGTGAGTTCTGTGAATTTTCTGCCAGCTGCAGCAAAACCACCTTCTTTTCACGTTCGCTGGAGGAAAGGTGTTTTGGCTGCCTTTGTGCAGGTGGTTTTTGTCCTCCAACCATATTCCCTTCTAAACTCCTCAGGGTCTGTGGGAGATGTCAGCACTTTTTATAGAGATTGGGAAGTCCTCTGTAAGTGTATTATTCCCAAACACATGCTAACAAGTAATTAATTACATATATTGTAAAAATACAAGCAATGGATTCTCAGCCACCCCAGAATTACTGAAGTGATTTCCCTTCAGGCTGCTCTGCCTGCATGTCTGGCTTTCAGGAATAAGCATTTCATCAAGCCCAAAGGTTAAGTTCTATCCATAACTCCTTGGGATTTGATAGAGAGCCCTTATCTTACAAAGAGCCTTCAGGCACAATGTCTGAGGTTTTTTTTTTTTTTCCAGAAATCAGTTTTTTCTCTCTGGGCAGCAACAGGAAATCTGCAAGAAGTCACATTTTCCAAAGGAAAAATAGAGCAGAATTGGTCCTGTTTCACAGTCTCAAACCTGAGAGCAGCACATGGCTTCTCAAACTCAGAGAAGGATTAAATTATAAATTCCATGCCACTATCAATATTTTCTTTATGTGACAACTACCTCTCTATAAATTTAACTCTATAATTTCCTATAGCCATTTCCACTTTTCTTACTCTTACACCTGCCTTACACCAGTCAAAATTAGTTAAGATGCTGAATGGAAAAAAAAAAATTTGGTGAAAAATACAACCTCAAAAAATACGTGTTTTAAACATATTTAAAGGAGTCCAATATCTGTCTCCTATGTAAATGAAAGGGATACATCAAAGAATGACCTGTGAAAGGATTCTCAGACACATTTTTGTAATTAATGAACTGAAATTGGATTTTCAGACTATTTAACACCAAACATTAAACGTTCTCATGTGCCTCATTCCTCAAAAATGGAGGAACTTGACTTTCCCAGGAAATGGAGAGCACCTTTTTATTCCTATAGGTCCCAAAAGCCTGAATTGATGAATTCCTAGGTCAGTTCAATGCAAAATGGGAGGTTTTATCCCAGTGCTTACATTTGTTAGCTGTTAGTGGGAATGCAAACTGCTATCACTGGCTGAGTTCAAATAGACCTTGTCTCTCCACATTTGGGTTTCAAATAAAAAAGGATCAGCAGCTAATGAGAATTAAAAAATAAACACATGGGATGGACACGGTCCTGCTCTGAGCTTTAAATTAGGTGGAAAGGATGGAGTGGCCAGCTAATGGTTTTCATTTATTTAGTTCTTTGCTAGCTATTTTCTCCTCCTTGTTTTAAATCAAAAGTTGCATTTAACAGAGGGCAGTCAGCAGACACATCCATGTGATGGCACTGAAGGTCTTGCACCTATAATAGTTGTAATATCTATAATATTTCCTTGTCTTTCCTTCCAATCCTTTTTTCCTTGCAGTCTGCAACATTTCCTTGCATTTCCTTCCTCTGTGCACTGCTGTGCAGCACATCCACATCCACTGCTTCCTGCACATCCCAGGTGCCTGGAACGTTCTACCTGAGCAAACGCTGGGATCTGGCAGAGGCAGATTCCTTCCCAGGCTGGGTTGGGAGCATTTCCTCCCTCATCTCCATCAAGGAACAGCCAACACCATTCATCTCTGCAGCCAAGGGAGGCCAGGGACAGGGATCTGTGCAATCCCCCGGCAGCCAGGGCTACAACCACAACCTCTAAACAATTTTTGTTTAGAGGAATTAGGGCTCTCCCTGCTCTCTGATTGCCATGCAAAAGGGGGACAAAAGTAAAGCACCACTGGCTCAGTATTTCTGGCAACAAATACCAACACAGACATCCAGAAGCACAATGAAAGAGACACCAAGGAAGCAGGAGTGGGAAAGGTGGAAAGATCCCCTCTTCCCGAGCCCACTGACCCTGCTGTTAATTGATCACACAACCCCTGAGGCTGAAAAGCTCCAGCTTCTCTTTTACTTCAGCAGGTGAGTGCACTGTGCTGGGAGAGAGTCACTAATTCTCATTTTTGCCCCTCCCGAGGAGCTCCTGATGTGAGGCAAGGTGGGGAATTTAGGAATCAGTTCCACTATTAGCATCATCATCACATCTGTCAAAATCAGTTCAGCTGCTGAATGGAAAAAAAATCATTTGGTGAAAAATATAACCTCAAAAAATATGTGTTTTAAACTGAGGAGTGCAATATCTGTCTCCTATGTAAATGAAAGGGATACATCAAAGAATGGACCTGTGGAAGGACTCTCAGACATATTTTTGTAATTAATGAACTGACATTGGATTTTCAGACTATTTAATCCCAAACATGAAATGATCTCATGTGACTGATCAGGTACCCTCAGAAATGGAGGAACTCTTTGCTTCAGCAGGTGAGTGCACTGTGCTGGGATAGAGCCATTAATTCCCATTTTCTCGCCCTCCCCAGGAGCTCCTGAGGTGAGGCAGGATGGGGAATTGAGGAATCAGTGCCACTATTAGCATCATCATCACATCTGTGGGGCATTAAATGTTTCCTGAATTGTTTTCTTTTCTTTCAACACATCGAACCTCTCTGAATATCAATGTGAACACAACTGTTTCTAATTACACCACATCCTGTTTTAATTGACTTTAATTGCTTGGTATGTTAATTTGCATCCCAATGCTCAAAATGCTTTTTTTAAACCCTTGTCAGAGCCATGCCAATGTTTAAGCAATTGGAAACAAAATAAAATTTCTGGCAGGCGAGTTTTTGCACCAAGTTCTCCTCTCACAATGTACTTGAAATAAAAATTTACAATGATATTTAGACATACAAGTAGGTGGAAATGCACCCAACAAATCTGAACTATCCTTGAGTGCTTAACTGAAGGTACATTGGAATCAAAGATCCTGAAAATGGATATTTTATTGATTGCCACGAGCCTTAAGTATCAAAGAATAGGAAATAAGTTGAGTAGCAAGTACTGGAAATTTAAATACCAGAACCTTAAAGAGGTTTAGATGTCACTCAAGGTTAATATGTAGATATCCAGGTACCTATGAAATGATTTCATGAGTGAGGCACCATAAAGATTTTGAGAACTGAGCTAGATCTCAGTTTTATCTTTTCATACCTAAATATCTCAACAGCACAGATATGTGCCTGTGTTCCAGTTTGTCCCCTGGCAGTGCTGAATTTCTTGTCCTGAATGGAAAGGTGTTTTTGTGAACACTCCAGGCAGATCATGCTGCAGGGTGAGGGCGATCTGGCTTTTGAGGATCAGTAGAAGAAATTCAGGATAACCCTGCTGAGAATAAGGAGGAAGATTTCCATGCAGTGAACTGAGCCCCAACCCATGGAGATCTCTAAGCCCCAGATCAGATTTCTTTGGCCAAAGCTCCACACCAGCCTGAGCTTCTCACACTTCCTCACAGCAGCATGAAGCAGCGAACCTTCCTCCTTTGCTTGGCTCTTGCTAAGGACACACAGCCAGGATTCCTGATATAAACATCACTTGGAGGCAGGAAGGCGGTGGAATTCTCCCCTGCAAGCTGCAATGTTCAAGCTTGTTTGCACTATAGGGAACTATAAGTGTCTTATAAATGGGATAAAATTTATCTTGATGCTTCAGGGGATTCCTGGCCTACTAAGCCCTGTCCCCTAAAATCCTCTGTTGCTCCACTGGGCTGTAAACATGAGGAATATCAATGCAGGAATTGCCAGAGATTTGCCAGAACTCACTATTTAAGTGTTTGTGGAAAATCAGACCTGCCCCCATGCCCTGGTCATCCTTATTTTTCACAGAGTGTTTTAATCCTGGTGTAATTTCAAATAAATAAACTTCATTTATTTATTTGAAACCATGAGCATGGAGAACCAGAGAGAAACACAACTGTGCCCACACTGCAGTACACTCCTGTATGGAGAAACTGCTCAGGAACCAAAATTTCACCCAGTGATGAGAAGGAATCAAGAGTAATTTTTATCCAGGGGAACCAATTGGCACAAATACAGACATATAATTATCATACCCCTGCCTGGCAGCTCTGCTCTCTGTGTAGCCACTCCCAGGAATCACCAATTTGGGCAGGATTTCCATCAAAAGTTTTCAAATTGTCCCACAAGCCACAATCAAACCAGACTTGGCCTCACTGATATTTGCTAGTTTCACAAATTCTGACTTCCTAGATGGTACCAGCAGATGATAAACAAGATAAAAGATTTTCTTTTTCAGCTGCCATGGTATAGTGTGAAATATTCCATGCAGCATTGTTGGGAAAAATTATTGGGAGAAATGGCTTTTGTTCATCTGACTCTACACCATCTACAGAGCTACAGGTGACAACTGAAAAGGGAGATTTTCCACATTAACTGGATTTACAAGTAAAATGGTATAAATGTATAAAGGAGTGACAGCTGATGCACAAGGTTTTTAAAGCACGTCAAAAGGGAGAAAACATTCGAGGTCCACCTACATTTTAAAGGTAAAATTTCATAAACAGAGAAAGGAACGCAACCAAAATCCCAAGAGAACAGCAGGTAAGTGGATTTGTTTAGGTGGAATGAGGGGAGGGGTTAGAATCTGCACAATGGCTGATTTTTCTATTTTCTCTGTGTGTTTCATGGATTTATTCAGCGTCATCTTCTGTTTGTCATCTCTGTTTATCCACAGAGGGAATCTTGCACCAGAATAATTCTGGAAAACCAACCTTAACCAGGTTGCCTATGAACTGCAGAATTCCTTCTAAATTACCATTGAATCACGTGTGAGTGCAGGAATACATTCAAACCCCAACAGCTAAGAATATTTAGTGAGATTTGGGTACTGAGAAATAAGTATCCAAAAGGAACAATCCATTGGGAATGAAAATTCAATGAGATGACCCAGAAAAGAGGGGCCAGGAGAGGACACTGGGTGAAGGGATAGGAGAAGCTGAGTGATCACAGGAAGCAAAAGTTTCCACATGAAATA